TGGCTTCGGAGTTGGCCGATCAGTATGCGCACAATGGGATTAAATTTTCGAAGGTTATGACATGTCCCTGATGAACTTAAGCAATTGAGCAACTGAGTTTAGAATACCAGTCCAAACTTGTAATCTCCATTTAGGCACTCGGACCACTCAGCGATAATGAGAAATTGTCCCACAAGACCTTCCAACCAGAGGCATGGTTGTGCAAGTGAGTTGCAAAATACGAAAATAGATTAGAACGGTTTTTGTTCGAGCACATACGTAACAAAATGCAACAAAATGGGCGTAAAAAGTTTTACTCCACTTGTAAGGGTTTTGCAGCTGAGAGCACTCTGCGGATAATGGGCACCGGTTTGGAGAAACTTGTGAGTATATCGGTTCCATCATTCACGACGTCTGAGAAGGCCTTGAATCAATAAATGAACTATGACTTTGTGGTAATTGTGCGTCAATCGAGTAACCGAAGTACCAACGATGTTTCGCGTTAGGAATAGGTGTGCTAAAAATGCAGCAGGCGATCTCCAAGACTCCGTGATACATCAGCCCGGACGGTTGGCTTGTTAATAAGGAACCATGCATTTCATGTGAGTCTCATATTTCTCGAGGGGTGCAGTAAGCAGGCATGCGAAATGACCGCTGAAGACGGCATTGTGTGAACAGGCATCCACGGCAACATAGATGCTGAAGGGCATTTTTGGGGTAAGTATTCCTACCAGTTTGTCGGCCACCCGCCTTATGGTGATGTCTCGATAACCTAAATTATATCTTCCTCTCATTTCAGGACGTCAACGGCCAAATGATGTGCCTCCCGGAAGGCCATATGTACACTTCAAAGCGACCAATCTATCTTAACATTTCATGACGTCCATTTTGAGCCTTTTCTCCGGCATCGTGTGCCCCTAGCCGCTTGTTAGTCTTGTTCGTCAGTTAAGTTCGTACAGCTGTCCGGTATTTTCGGCATAGTTTCTGTGTGGCTAGTAATTGGGCATCGTGTACCCCCGGCCGCATATTAGTCGTGTGCGTCAGCTAGGTTCGTTCAGTTGCCCGCTATGATTGAAGTAGGTTCCATGTTGCTAATCGATGAACCTCGAGGTATTCCTTCCGAATTATGCAAGCTATAATGGAAAACTCTGCTTTTTGCCAGCAAACGTGCATGACTTTTAGCAAACAATGAACATGGAGTACGGAATTCTAACTGGCGACAGGAATCATCATCCAAAATTTGTTTGCACGAATGCACCTACACATATTTTGCATCTCCGAAGGCCATTTAGATTCGAGAATTTTCAGGGAATTGTTTCGGGTGGAAAACTATCTGAAAGTTTCGTCCATTGTGACTGAGTTAACGTTTTCCACATTTCGCGATTTTGTGTCACATCAGGCGACGTATTCACAGTCGGTGGTGTTTATTGACCTTGAGGATTCGCTCACTTAAATAAGTCGCCATAGTAGATGATGTTCACTAATACAGGACCACAAACATTATACATAGACATTCTACACTGTGAATTGACAAGCCTGAAAATACCGTAGCTTTCGAGAAATCAATTCAATTGTACGAATGCTCTGCGACACCTGTAACGATGGAGAATTTCCAAGTCGAGGAGATTAAAACATTCAGAAAGCAATAATCCTTCTTTATTTGTCTGGTAGTAATGAAAAAGCACTTCCGCTTCCCTACCGACCAGATATCATCGACCGATTTAACTGGTTTCCTTTTAGCGAATATACACACATCTGCAAACTAATTTGGTTCTTCCGAGAGCCTCACCTGGAACCCAGCTGAATCTCTCGCTTATGATGTTCTCAGGCAACTGAATGTGCTGCACCAGGTCGCCTCATGAGAACATCATTAACGAGAGATTCAGCTGGGTTCCGGGTGAGTCCCTCAAAGAACCAAATTATTTTGCAGACGAATGTATATTCGCTAATTGTGTGCAATTTGATTTCAAGTAGAACATAAGGTTGACGGAAACCCGGAGACTGCGCCTACCTGATGAGCCCTAAGAAGGGCGAAACCGGTCGTGGGCTATCGATGGATTTTCAGCAACCTTGTGAGTAGTACATTACAAATATGATTTCCTTTTAGTTTTATCCCCCTTATTATCGGGAAGCTGGGCGTTCTGCCTGTCCCCACCTGGGTCTGGGAGAGGGAGTTTTGTTGTGTTGTAATATGCCCTATGTCTGGTATGTTAATGCGTACTAAAATTTTAGGCAAACAATTGCCAATGCGCCCAAAGTTCGTTGGTCTTGCGCGTAGAGTCTCTACGAGAAAAACAGTATTGGAGAAGTAAGTCGGTCGCTGAATCAACCGGCAGTTTTCGTTGCCAGACAGATGAATGCGTCCACAGTGCCTTAGGTTGAACTTCTGAGGGTAAGATGCATAATCAACCAGGTGATAAGTTCCAGATATACCCCGTTTGACTGAGCAAATAATTATTTCTTTTCACCAGTGAATGCACAAATGTGTTCGGTGAGTAAATTTGCATCAACTGAGCTAATTTCATGGTCTTTGTGTGCATCCTCGTCTATGCCAATCCTCAGTAGCACATGCTTGTGAATTCACGTTGGTTTTTCTATTTCGTGCTATTCGTTTTCATACATTCTTCATGTTCGTTCACTCATCGAGCATCATTTTTATTCCTATGTTACTTGTTACAAACAACCCTCGGTGAATTTAATCCGCTTATCTCTTTCTTGACCCCATATGGTTTTGTCCTGCGCACTGCGTGATTCGACAATCTGCCTCGACGTGACATATCTGTCGAACACTCGCCACTCAGTTGCTCTTATGAATCATTACAAAAGCAGTTCTTAGGCCACTTAAAACCATAACTATGCCCCCTAGCAAATAAGAATTCCATCCACGCAATGACGGCCAGAATGACTGATTTAGTGAACTTGAGCTTAGTTCCAATCTATGCTCTGAACAAATCACGTGAGATACGTCGTTTTCATTCATTTATGCCAGGAAAATCTGACTAAACGCCAGTCATAAACGGTTAGTCCCTAACGTAATTGTTCAATTTGTCCCTCTTAACATCTGCTGTTTATACTGGAACAGATTTGTGATGCTAAATTCACAGATATGTTTGATGGATTCCACTGCACGATGCACCTCTAATCGGCCAACATTGTTAACAAACCGTTTTTATGGATGGTACCACCCGTTTCGAAATTACGCCAGTAAATAGCCTATCCTTACCAGTGGATTTCGATGACAGCCATAGGAATGAAAAATTATTGGGACACGTAGTGGGGTAAGCATGGACAGCTCAAGCGCACGACTCTACCTGATATTAAGAGCACCAGCAGTAGACAACCTTGTTCCCTTTTTTGTGGGTGGGGGAAGCAGAAGACATTCTATAATTTCATGTTTTTTAAAACCTGTTAGAGAAAAATACTTCCACTGGGGGAGATATGTTCATCTTCCCGTAGGCTATTATGCTTCTATGTTATTTCTCATCGATAGGTATGAGTGAAAAAACAACTGATGAATAAGTGGACAATAATTTGGTCGTCAAATATATCCTACTATTACGGTAGGCATCAGTGTATGATAAGAAGCAAGAACTGCATACCACAAGATTAGGAGGAACATCGATCGATATGAAAATCAGTATCTTTCATGTACGGTAATCCAAAGATCCACAAGTTTCGCCGCTCTTTTCAGGGCAAATCTTCCTTACAGTGACCCAGTACCTTAGAAGAGGTTAACCTTCATAAGCCTGGTGGGTTTTTTTTAAATCTGCAGTTTCATTCAGGGAGCACGCGAAGAATAGCCGAAGGGCTCTATTCGTGTTTGAAAGTAACACACAAGCCCTTCGATAGCCAACGATAAGTTTCACCCTTGCGGAGTCTCATAAGTTAGACACAATCTCCAAGTTTCCCTCAGGCTCAGGTTCTACTCGAACCCGAATTGGACAGATTTAGGCAATGCAGCAAGCTGAATTCAGCTGCGTACCCTGTAAAAACAAAATCGATGCGCAAATGAGAGTAGGTTTCATACCATTCGTGCTATTTTTATTCGGAGTGAAACAAAACCAACAAGATTGTGCTTTGTCAGCGGTGCGTCCTGTTTCTGGCGCTAGTGTGATGCCACATCATACGGCCCAAACAATTGTAAACGAACATCAATCACACGTTAACAGTTCAGTGCGAACTTCACCTTAGACTCTTTCTTTTTTTTCGACTTACGGCCAAGGCGCCTAACGGTCAAGTGACACTGAATTTTATGAGTGCAGTACTAGAAAATGGTATTCTTTTAGTGATATGTGTATGTGTGACAAAACAACCGTGACGAAGTATCATTAGCTTCATTGTTCGACAAATTCACCGTTCATCCTGTTGATGACAGTTCCTGCATGGAAAGCGATTAGTGGACTTTGGGTGAACCGTTCTTACCACTCGTTTACCATTACAATAAAACGAACCTTACCACTCGTTTACCATTACAATAAAAGTCGACTTTTCTTCATAAATCTGAGCATTCACACAAACCTAGTCTGGCAACTTACCAACAGGATGGCCGTGCGGTCATTTGACGATGAGTGTCCTTGAAACCAGAAGATGAGAGTGAACAATTAACTGAACAATGAACTGAAATTTCCATTATAAACTGTTTCTTTCATGTACACGAAACTGGTATGAACAACGGTCTGCATGCAGGACAATGCAGAGAAACAAGTGTAAGAAAACGACTCGCTGCGGTCAACCTGATCGCGACACAGTCGGCTGTTCCATTTGAAAGTGTCATGTAAAGTTTACCCTTTCTATATCTTGTTAGACAATCTGAAACTCCTTTAAATACAAGCAATTATATGGATTCAAACACTAGGTGATAATTTCGGCCCCCACTAGTCAATACCCGAATTCTTCAACGAAACTCCGACGAATGTTTCACTACCAGCGTAATAAACTCAGCAAGAATCCTGGGAATTCATCAACGATGAGCTTTTGACAGAAATACCTGTCATCATTCTGTAGCAAGGTTTCCGTAGCATTGCAAAACTCAGAACATATGCCGATAATGTGGTTGACGAAATCCTCAGCCGGTCGGATGAATTCATCTTCGTTCAGTCAATTAACAAAAGCTTGCATGTTTTGGGTGTCATTTAGTTTGAGCTTCGATGTGGTCCATACAGGCCTCAGGCTGGCGTAGAACAGCAAAGGTAATCGCAATGTCAGCACATTTGCAGTCTAATTCGTTTCTCACAGTAGATTAAACTAAGCCCGGCTGGCTTGTGATATTCTACAAACAAATCGGCTGCAATGTGACGCCAATTGAAAGGCGAGGCGTTTTTCGTTCAGTTGAAGAATATGATATAAAAGAGATTAAGCTGGATGTCAGTTGAGTCTGTATATA